GACGTCACTGCTATCAGCTGTCTTACCACTAGAAAGGGCTCCAACCTGTCATCCAGCCCAGCCTCAGGCAGGCAAAAGAGCACGGATGAGCCAGGGCACAGTAATCATTACTTGTGAAGAGACAAGATAAAGCTACCAATGTCACTGCCTTCTTCCCTCACCTGAGGACTGTCAGGTGTATTTTCCTCCTAATAACATACATACAGATCCACGAGCTGTCTAGAACCAATGTGGTGGTCATGTGAACTTTAATTGGGCATTAGCTGTTATCAATATCAAAAGAATATCAAAAGAATAAAATTTCAGGAATGGTACTTGTTCTGCCAAAGCTTCATTCGTATAAAATGGGTTTTGGGAAAAATGTTTTCCTTATGGTTCATTCTTTAAATCTAGCTGCCTGAATCAAAGAAGAAAGTGGCTGGTCAAACTCATTTATCCTCAATAAAATAAGGCAACATGGCAATGAACAGGCTAAGTCAGCAGAGAATTTCATCCACATCCTTAATCAAAAAACCAGTGCTATTCATTATCAAATAACATTGCTTCTTTCCTTAACATTTATTCTTGAAATAAATATTGCAGACCTAATTAGATATGATCGTTTTCCCCTTTAACTTCAATAACTTGAAGGGTTAAGTTTTTAAGGAATAGAAAGCCCAATAAATATTTTCATTTCTTCGCATTTTTAATAATTATCTAGAAGAACAGTGGAGATACTCACGACCGTGTACATGAAACCTGACATTTCCTAATGAAAACAGGACTACCAATTTTCCCGACTGCAAACTGGCAACTGTACTTTAATATGTTCTACTTAATACTGGGCACCCAAGCCAGCAGCAGTAATGCTGGAGCCATCTTTCCAGTTTCTTCTCCCACTCATGTGAGGGAGAGGGGGATGGGGTGTTCAGTGCCTCATGTAAGAGTGCAGGCTCTGGAATCTGAATGCTTGGATTCAAGGCCCGCCTCCACCAGACCCTAATTGTGAATGGTGGGGTCTTTCGGCTTCTTTGTGCCTCAGTGTTCTTGTCCATAAAGCAAGAACAATGACAGCACTGACATCAAAGGATTCTGAGGACTAATTAAAATAATTCATGTAAATTGCTTCACAGGGTGCCTGGCTTGGTCACTGCTCAATAGAAAACACCTACGTTTGTTACTCTCTTACATGTGTCTCACACGCCTGCCATAACCACACTCTGCCTTCATCCCTCTGTGCTTGGCTCTTCCTGTTCTGAGTCTCGACCACCGCCCTGCTGGGTCTCGGGCCCGAGGATATCCTCCTCCCTTCCATGGCCCATCTTGGGAATGGGCCTAACCAGTCATGACTTGGCCCTGTTGCCTGCACCTCCATCGCTCTTTGTTTGCAATTCTCTCATTATATTCATTATATTAAACCTGACTTTCATTATAGTAATTTATGACCTTGTCTCCTTCATGGGCAAGGACTGTGTCTTACTAGCCTATTTATTCTCCATAGTATTTAACAATCCACAAAGAGTGGTTCTCAATAAGCACTTACTAGATTTGAAACAGTTGTGCTTACTTATGACCGTGAACATAACGTATCACACAGCCTGTACGAGCAGCTCTCTTGGGAGGCTCACAAAGGTTAAATGAGATAGTGCATGCAACGGGCTTCTAACAAGCTATTATTTTATCGTTATCAACCACAGCTAACAGTTCTTCGGTACGCACCATGTGGCCGGCATGGCGGCTTTTCATTCCCCTTGCACAGAGTAGATGAGATAAAGGTGTTTTTTAAATGACTGATGAAGAAAATGGCTTTGGCATGGCAAATTTAAAAGTAACTATTATTAAATTTATATTATTAAAAAGTTGGGTTGAATAGATCATGAAATTCCTGGTACTTTACAGCATAGTTTTGCGTATCTAAATAATTCAAGACATGCAGAAGTATAAAAACTTGCAAATCGTAAAAACAAAGGGCAGTATTCTGCAAATGCGTGTACCCAGTGTTCAGGACTAGTAAGGGAAAACAACACTGAGAACTTCTTGAAGTCTCAATCTTCTCAACCGTAAAACAGGCCAATGATCAGAAGCCCTGTGCAGGGCACTCTAAGGAGTAAATCAGGACATGTGGTAAAATGCTTACAGCAATGCAATAAGTAAACATACATGCTGATCTAATTTGTTTTTATCATAAATGATGCTCTCAATTATTGAATAAGTGAAGATCTAGGACCAAGATGGATAAACTAAATCCAGAGTTGATCCCAAGTTTCTGAATCACAGTCTGTTCTAAATTCTTGAACTTAGAATTGAGTTCTAAGTTCAAGTGTGAAATCACTGGTAGGGTATTGCCCTATATAGGAGGATGGAAATGGACATCAATGAATAGTGAGAGGCCCAGAAAGGCAGCAGGAAGGAAAATGTGAAAGCTTGGATAAGCCACATATACAACATGGATTAGCATATATTCGTTTTCTAAAACTTCAGGAATTAAAATGCCTACGTTCAGTTCCTGCAAACATATCAGTCTAATCAAATGAAAAACACATTTTTATGAAATGCTTTTATATATTAGATATAATTTTAATTTGTTCTTCTATTCATTTCAGCTTTTAAAAGTGGTAAAATGAAAAAATAAAGCACCAGAGATCTGAAAGGCAAAATTTCACAATGAAGCAAGCAAATAGTGTTTTCTTTCCCCCCCCAAGCATAATCATATAAGCTGTTTAAAGGAAAAAAGATACTAAAGGAATTGTTTAAATAAAACTTAAGGAGAGATCTAGAAGTCCTTTTCAGTGAGTCTAGTTTCCCGATATCATTCTATGAATCTTTTTAAATATAAGAATGTACAAAGCATGAAATTATGGATGGAAACAGAAAATGCTTTGCAATGATTCAAATGCGTAACCTACTGCACTTATATGCATTTCTTTTTAAAAATCTGTATGAAAGGCATGAAAATAATCATTTTCTCAAAATGATTCCAAGGCATTAATGAGATTTCCTACCAAAAAAATGACTCCCCAGACTAAACACTCAAGTATGCATGTCATCTGCTTTTTATCAGCACAATCCTGGCTTTGAATGCTATGGAGATATAAATGAAAAGACAGAGGCCAAGGGAGCAGGGGGGGTGGTGCCCCTTAGTCCAGATTTAGAGCTGCATATAGAAAATAGCAGGCTTTAAACTTTTAGGTTCTACTGCCTAGTAAAATTTCCAAAATAAAACCGGGGAGACTACCCTAGGTTGCCAAATTTTAATTTCTCAGAGGAAAGGCATTAAAGAAAATAACTAACACATATTATCATCAATAATTTATGAAGGAAAGGATATTTTAATACCCCCTAAGAATAAGAGGCCCATAGTTTTAGAATGGGCAGTTCTGTGAATTAAATAAATTTAGCTTTAAGTTAAACTCACTATATAGTGTTCTTATCTTTTCTACATTGATGGGACCAGAAAGTGTTCATCACTAAGAGAGGGCATAAAATGGGCCAGAGACCATACAAGATGTCTTTAATTAGGGCACCCAGTTTTTAGCGAATATGGGTACAACAAAGGGAAAAACGGCAAAAAATACCTCCCTTCTATAAAAAAACTTGTTCCAATGTAGGATTTAGAATGTTCAATTTGTGATTACATTATCAGTGTCTAAATATAATTCTCCTTGAAAAGCACAGTAACTGAAAAGGCTGAATCCATAAAGTTGAACCTAATCCTCATTTTTCTATTCCTCCTCTGTTAGATTGAATGTTCAGAACATTTACTGGAAAACAGCCCCCAAACAGTTAAGCATCAGCGGTCTTCTGAAGCATTCCAAGTGTGCCCAATTTGCATGTTATAAACATGGACAAGCAGAGCCTCCTTGAAATCTATGTACAGAACAGACATCAGCTGGGCTCTCTGACAAGTAAAATGAATGGACAGAGAGAGCAATGATTAGAGAAGTTGTGTCCAGCCATTGGTTCCTAATATATCCCTACTGGCTGAATGAAAAGAATATACCTTAAAATGGATTTTTTAGAAACTCCTATTCATTTTAATAATGTCTGAATTTTTGGTTAATTAAGGAGATGCCATCGAAATTTGTTCATAAAATGGCATTCAGTAAGTGGAACAATTTTATGTTTGGAGGAATTTTTTTTAATGCAATAGTAAAGCTATTATTAGTCATACTGACAGGATGTAATATGGCTGAAATGTTCAAAGATGTTCAAAGAGAGAGTCAGAGTATATAAATACAGCATCTAACACAACTAGCCCAGATGCTCAAATTATTCCAAGCAGAATGTGGGCATATCCCCGTTTAGTGGATTTTCCAGAGTATAACTTTTCATCCTCTACCCTTATGCTGTTTCTGTATGGATTATCCTATTAACCATCTGCATCTTGACCAAAGGGCCACACATTAAGGTATAGGAAGTATGGAAGTGAGAAAATCTTGAGCATTTTCCTTTTGTGACTAATTAGGACACAAATTTTTAAAATTTTGTATTTAGAAATCTTGGCTAGAATACATCTTTGGTGGTATAAATAGACTTTTCAAAACTGAAGCGTTTAAGAACAGCGTGGGATAGTGGCTAATTAACTGTGTGAACCTGGGCTTACTACTCAATCTCCCTGTGCCTCAGGGTCCTCACCTCTAAAATGGGGATAATAATGGTGCCATCCTCATAGGGTTGGGAGAGTAAAAGGGGTAACATATTTAAGGCACTTAAAACAGAGCCTCTTATTGCTACTACTTATTCCTAGAGTATCTGAAAAATTCACTGCATTTATGGAAGATTTTATACTGAAAGAGCTGAACACAGTTTAAGAGCCGTATCTACCAATTCAGACATAGAAAATTTCATCAGATGAGAAACGTTCAGAGAGTTAAGAAGAAAATGAGTAAGTGCAAAAAGACCACACTGAGATAAATGGTATCAGTTTTCCCTGTCCAAAAAGAAGTATCAAGGTCTGTATTCTGGAAACCTAGCAGTTAATCTGAGCAGCAAGAATATCTTCCACCAGAAGCCAAACTCACCCCTTGTTCATCCAGTTTCATGAGTTGCTCTGTGACCTTTGGAGTGTTGAAGGCCAACCTCAAGCACTGGACGTTGAGCTCAGGAATCACATGCTCCAGCACTTCCTTCAGGGGCAATCCTCTGGCGGTCGAGTGCTTTGCCGTTGAGGGAATGGCATCCTCCAGGACTGAGCCTCTCAGTGTCATGAGCTGAAAGACAGACATGTGCTCGGCTGAGGGCTCTCTCGGTGTGGGAGAGGCGTAAATACATCGAACGCATTGACGGCCTAGGTTAAGGTGCTGCTGAGGAGCAGGGAACGACTTCTGAAGGGGAAGCCGGTGAGGGAGAAAGAATGGAGTGATAGAAGAACTCTGTAACGAAAAGAGGCCAACGCTTCCAAGACCCAGGCAAGTCCAAAGGAACTCATCATCAAGCCTTCCAGGGACACCGACTTAAAAATCAAATAAGGCCATTTCCTTAAAGAGCTCAATAAGATCAGGGTCTATATGGCTGTAACATGCCACTAACCAAATTAAGAAGGAGATATCCCAGAGAAATATCTGAAGGATTTAGACGTTATACCTTTTTATTTTACATTATTTTATTACACAGTTATTTTACATCACATTATTTTATTACAAAATTTTATTACATTATTGTTACAAAAGGTAAGGGGAAGGATCAAGTTTTAAATTTCATAACATACTGCTGACAAGCATAAACTCCTTATATCCCCACATGCAATGACGATAAGACCATGACTGTACTTAGTACAGTAGCAGAGTCAACAGCACTGGAAGTCACTTTGGATTTCCGCTTCTTAAAACGCTTTCCATTATTATGAAATACAAACATAACCAAAAAAATTTCTCTACGTCATGATGATTTGTTGGAGTAAATAGGAATATGAAATATGAGCAGTCTTAATTCCTAAAACGTGTCATGCGGCAAAGCTGTAATAAATACAATGTAAACACTGACGATGACCTAAGAAGAAACCCCGGCACCGAACACCCTCCCACGAAGCCGGCAGGTCACGAGGCACCGAACTGCAGCAGGTGCGGCGAGAGCGGACAGAGGACGGCGCGCGGGCGGACGGCCAGGTGTGCGGTGCAGGCGGGGGAGGGGGAGGAACCACAGCCGCAATTCGGACGGCTGTATTTGCTAAGAGTGGCACAGGTTCGGGCCCTAAGAGGGTCCAAGAGCAGGGGCTGGGGCGCTGCGGCTCAGTGCATTAGAAAAGGCCCTCATGGAAGCGTGGCACTAAAAAGGGGCCATGAAGGCGGGGCGGGGGGGGGGGCGAGAATTCTGTAAAAGCTCTGGTCAGAGAGCGAAGGTACGAAGGTCCGGAGATGAGGAAGAACCAGATGTGGGGCGGCAAGAGCCACCGCTATGGCGAAGCCGGATCTGAGGGCGGCTAGGGGAGCCGGCAGGTGGGGGGTGGAGGGTGGAGGGTGGGGGAGCCTGCAGGGGGGGGGCCTGGGGAGCCGGCAGGTGGGGGCTGGGGGGGCACGCAGGAGTGCGTACCTGAGAGGTGTGCACCCCGTCAGGCTCCAGCAGGCAGCCTCAGACCTCGTTGGAACACGGAAGAAGATGCGTTAAGGTGAACGGCAGGAGGAAGAAGCCGTAGGCAGACAATACAGTTGGAAGGAAGCTGTAAGAGTCTCGGAAATCAGGCAAAGGGGGCATGATAAACGGTTAGCAGGGAAATGGAAACCAAAGGAACAATCACCAGGGAAGTCAAATCTCTAAAGTTTGCCAACTGATGGGGAAGAGAGAGGAGGGTAGGAAAAGCAAAATCTACCAGCGTCTTGCTCTCAATACAAGAACAAGGTACTATTCATTTAATTAATATCTTTCATTTATAAATAATTTGTTTTCAAATAACACTTGTGTAAAAAACATCATTTTTCCTATGATTTAATACCGAATTTGACCGAAATGGTTTCTGGGCCCTTCTTTTGTGTTTTAAATCACGGGAAACTGCTGGACAAGCACGTTACTGTGCTCCGCCTTCCGTGAGATAACCTGAGCCCGGAGACAGGAAGCTATAGAGGCTGGAAGTCCGTTCCGACGAGAATCCAAGACCGGGAATGCTAAACCTGTACCACAGAAAGACAGCAGCTCACCTCAAGGAAGCCAAAGCAGAGGAGAAAAAGAAGGACTCATTTTTCTATCTGGATCACTAGCATTGCTGATATTGATTGTTAATGATCCAGAAACAAGACAAGAATCCTTATAAGTCCCTGTGCACCTTTGCTTGAAAACACTCACATGCTGTAAGGTTTTGTTCATAAACTGTCAGGCTTACATACATGTTTATGTTTTTCTGTTTATGTTGCGCACTGATGAATCCTACTGAAATGAAAGAGGAAAGAGTGAAGTGCCTGTCGGACACGGATGGACATCCAGAGAGGTTTCTCTCGAAGGACTTCTGTTAGTTAATTTTTGTGAAAAGCCTCATTAAGATATTACAGTTAAACCACACTTAAGGGTGACTTTGATTGGAAAGGAGAAAGTTACGCGAAAGCTAGGGACACTTCATTACATACACATTACAGAGGAGAGGAAGGGAGAGCACGACTTGCGATTCTAGGCATTAGACATGTAGTCACGAACCACTCAGACCAACAGTCCCTACCCTCATGGGGCTTAAATTCTAGTGGGGGAGACAGAAAACAAAATAAAAAGTACAGCATGTGAGGCAGTATTAAGTGTTCAAGAAAAAAATAAAGCCTAGCGTTAGACATGAAATGGGATGTGTGGGAATAGAAATTTTAGATCCGTGGCCAAGGAAGGCCTGTGTGATTTATGCATAAAGGTCAGGAGGAAATGAGAGAGCTCCAGGCAGGAGGATGCCAAGGGAGAAATATGGCAGGACAGAGATATAGGGAGTAGCCAAGCCCTGAGGCAGAGGCGTCCTCGAGGTGGCCCTGAGGGGAAGGAAGCCAGAGTGGATGGTCTCCTAAATTAGCAAGGACACTGACAGGTTTTTACCCAGGAGATGGGTAACCATTAAAGGATTTTGCACTGAGGAATGACAGATCTGGATTACATTTCTAAAGGATTCCTGCAGGGCTTAAGGGCAGAGTAGGAAGAAGGGTTCTCGGAGAAAGATGATGGTGGCTTGGCCTAGGCTGAGGTGGTGGGATGAAGGAAGGAGTTGAATTCTGGGCATATTTTGAAGACAGAGTCAGCAAATTTTGCTGACAGACCAGACTGGGGTTTAGGAGGCTAGGAGGAGAGAGGGGCCCGGAGTGACTTTAAGTTTCTGGCCTAAACAACTTCAGTAACAGAATTGTCAGTTAAACATTAATTTGAACATAAACGTTAGTGATGATGGTGTCTTGAACCATGAACAACATGTGACTTGGATGTTCCAGTCAAAGGCTAAGGTAACGGACCCAAGGGACATCAGATGGGCTGGCAGGAAAAGGACCCAACGGTCAGACCAGAGAAGTGTTGGGGGAGGGGGTTGCAGGTTGAACACTGGGCCCAGGTAGCAAGGGATGAAAGGACAGAGGTGGAAAAGGCAGAGCCACCAGCCATGGCGGAGGGATCACGGTCACTCAGGACAGCAGTTAACGCTAGAGACAGGAGAGAGGCTGGGACCAGACAGGAAAGAGCCAAAAAGCAAGCTGGAGGGTATGTAAACCAGTTGATGAGGGAGCAGAAGGCTGGCTGAAGACAAAGCACAAGCTGACAGCCTGCAACCTCCCCCCACTCCTGGGTGGGACAAGTGTGACATTCTTCTAGGAATCTCCCAACTATCTTAATGTTAATGCCTTGCTACATGGGGAAAAACCACCTTAACTTGACAAGGGCAAGGCCTCTGGTATCTCTTAGGTCCTCCTTACCATATGGAAAGTTCTCTTGAAACCTCCCTTCTTCCTTACCTCCCCCAACCCCATAGTATATAATCAGCCACCCCTTACCACCCCAGTGCAGCAGCTCTTTCTGCCCACGGGTCCTGCTTTAATAAACCACCATTTTACACCAAAGACTTCTCAAGGATTCTTTCTTGGTTGTGGGCTCCGGACTCCACCCCACTGAACCTCACCTATATTCCAAAACCCCATCACAGTGACAGGAGCGGGGGAGGAAATCCCTCACTTAGAAAACTCTGACGTCTGGCACGAATGATGGTAGGAATTGGCGTGGCCCGGGGGGGGGGGGGGGGAACAGGTGACAACAGGAGGACAAAACCCCAGAAGTAACAGGCTGACAGAAATCCAGGAAGCCAGAAAGAGGCAACCACCTGCATCCAACTTCAAAAACAGTTGTGTTCTCTGTGCTTTTTATGTTCAACAAAAGCATTCACCCTGCTTAATGATTAGCTCTGGTGTGGACAGAAAGCATAGTAGAGCATGTGAGCTCTTAATTCTCTCTGGCCACTACATACAACCCATTAGATACTGAAGTCATGCCTTTAAAAATCCTATTTTTAATTTCCCTGGAGTTCAAGCTGAGGAACAATTACAAAGTGAAGCCAAACCCTGAAACCTGCCTTGTATCCAAGGAGGGAAATGGAGTAAATGTCCTATTGAAACTGGTTTCAAAACCATTATTTTCTAGATACCTCAGGGGGGTATTAAGCATTCATGTGCAACAACAATCCTGAAGTGAATTTGGCACAGAGAGGCAATAATAAATTCGTAACTGGCGCAACTGTACACATGTTCAGAAAGAAAACAAAGGAGAAACCTCATTGTCCCAAACTTGTTCATGAGTTTACACCACCACCACCACCAACAAAAACTGCTTTGTTGGCTATTTTATTTTTCCTTTTCTTTTCTGACCTGAATTTCATTTTAAAATAAAAACTCATATATTACATGTGCTTTGAGTCCTAAAGAGCCCTGAGAGCCGGCCTCACGCGCAGTGAGGTAGCCTTGAGTTCGCCGGGTCACTCTGGGTCCCCTGACAGCGGGGGGGAGCAGGCCCGGGGGAAAGCCAAGTGGAAGTGGAGAAGAAAATTCTCTTTCCCTCTTCTTGGATCAAGAACTGTCCTAAGCAACAGTTTGGAAGAGCGAGTTAACTCTTGGGTGACCCTCTCTCTTCTGTAAGTCCGCTGGCTAAGTGCTCCCGGCCGGCCGAGCAGTAGATGCAATATCCACTTTGGAATCCTGAGGACCCAGTTTCCTAGAGCCACACTTAACTGATGCATCTTTCTCCGAATCAAAACTCCCATTCATTTATTGCATCTACCCAGGGGTCAATAGAAAGGAAGGATCCAAATCTAACCATGATGTCCACCCCCATCACCACCAGAATGAATGAAAGGGGCCTTTGTTTATGCTAAGACATTTGTAGCTATGTGCTATTACACTGAATTGTTTTGCTACTAGGACTCCCCACTCCAATCAAGCCTCAATCTTTCTGGTTTGCAACTTACCTCACTGGTTCTAAAAATTATTCGGTAGTTGTATGGAGATCCATTTTCCTTCGTTTCTTCTGGTTTTTCCCTTCGAATGCTCACAGCCACCGGACCAAGATTCTCATCGGCCCCAAAATAGTTCCAGTGTTCTTAGGTAAAAAAAAAAAAAAAAAAAAAAAAAAAAAATTAGACAAAGCAAAATTAGAACACTTACACAACACTTTAAAAATGTTATATTCTGGGTGATATTCAGATCACTCAGAAGTTCTGTCAATAAAATGTAAACACATTTAGCAAATATTCCTCAATGAGTTATAAAACAGAGACTTAGCTACACAAGTTTGGTCTCCGAGGAGGTAACACTGAACAGAGGTGGTCTGTTGCATGTTTTTTTTTTTTTTTTAACTACTCTGCAACTTACTACTTTACTAATTTTTTTTTTTTTTTTTTTTAAAGATTTGTGTTCTGTCCCTACATTCTACTATTTAGGTAGGCTATACTGTGTGGGCTTGCTTGCCTAAGGGAAGGTTTGTGCCAATGATTCTTAGCTTTTGTTAAAAAGCAAAAAAAACAGAAAACAACCCTACACCTGTTGAGAATAGAGTTTGAGGATTGAGGGCTTTCCCCCAGATTAAAAAAGACTTCCCAGGGGGCACCTGGGTGGTTCAGTCGGTTAAGTATCAGGTCATGATCTCCGGGTCCTGAGTTCAATCAAGCCCTGCATCCCCAGTCTCCCTGCTCAGCAGGGAGTCTGCTTCTCCCTCTCCCTCTCCCTCTGCCCTGCCCCCAACTTGTGCTCTGTCTCTCTCTCAAATAAAAAGGAAAAAAAGAAAAAAAGAAAAAGAAAAGAAAAGACTTCCCAGAACTGGAGAGAGGAGAAAGGCCTGTGAGTCACTGAGCCACACTCTCTATCAGCTAGAGTAGGGTCTACGGAGGAAAGAGCTTCTAAGAGCCCTTAGGAGACAGAAGCTGAGTGAGGCCCGGAACTCTGGGCCTCACCAATAGTTCCCAGGCAATAAGCACTAGAGGCATCCTGCAGAGCCAAGAACCCGAAGGGCATGTTGGGCTGGGATAAAAGGTCTCTCCTAGGTAGGCAGTGTGGCCAGATGACTGACGATTCAGGGCCCTTTCCTCAACGTGCTGGCACTGCAAAAGACCCCAAACCTTAGCATAACCTGGGGTTTGGGGGAAAGTCTCCAAATGACTGGTGTTGAATACCTTCCTCTTGACCAGATGGGAAGTCAGGATCAAAATTAAATTAATTTACAGAAGAAAATTTTAAAAATGATATTCACTATACACTAAGCATATACTTCTTTAAAAAATTAAAATTGTTGATACACATAAGAGATGTTCACAGATGAGGCAGTCCATAAAACACAGAAATGTATGAAAAACTAAAGTAGCTAACTTATTTTTCAAACCTCCACAATACTTTACATTGTCCTAGCTCACCTACATGTGACATGGTGGATGGTGGAGTCATGACATGGTAAGTTATCCTCCTACAAAATGCATACATTTGAAAATACGGGTCGTTCCCATACAAGATATAAAAGCATTTGAAAATCCATGAGAATAAGAAGAAATAAATAAATAATAAAGATGTCTACTCATGCATTTGCAAATACTGAAGAGTGATTATATAATGATAGCGTGAGGGCTCTCCAAGAACATTATCACAATCCATGCAAGTTCAAATAAGAAAACGCAATGGGACCACAGGCAATGAACGTCTCCCGGCTGGACACCTGAGAAGCAACCCAACAGGTGTCACAAAGTTCGTGTACAAACACTCATGTACACTCTCCAAGCACAGCGCCTGAGAATCCTCACTCTCAGAGGCTGTTTACTACCACTTTGCATATCAGTTTAATAAGCTTGGCTGTCTGGTCTTCAGGCTCCCAGCTCATCTCAGAGGTGTGATCATCGCAGATGCTGACCACGTCCGGAGCGTGGGGCTGACACAGACTCACGTGCAGACAGTGATGTGACAGCAGAACGGACGACCAGGAGGAAAGCAAAGGCAGGAGGCAGAAATCGTACAAAAAAGCGGACGAGAACTTGAAGAAAAACAAGCCCACGGTCTGGGGCCATTTGGCGAAGGCGCACTTGCGTGACTTGCGAGCGCGCCTGACCACAGCCGCGCGGAACGACACAGCGCGCGTGGCGGCGGGCAGTGCAAGCCTCATGCATCACATGCTGTTCTTTGCACTTTGTGGACCGGACTGACTCCCAACTCTCCAGAAAGTCCTCCAACACACCCCACACCAGGAAGGGCAGGTGAGACGGCCGTACTCTGCTGCTGGAGACGTTCGGGGCTGCTACAATTCACGGCCAGTAACCTCAGCCGCCCTCAAGCTGTCCCCGGGCAGCTCTCGCCCCCTTTCCCCAGAGCAGAAACTGCAAAGGTCCTCTGTTCTCCTTCCACCTCCCCCACCTCCCCCACCTCCCCTCCCCTCGGTCTCAGCGAATGACAACACTGTCTACACCACAAGGAAAATAAAGAAGCCACGTCAGAAGCAAGCGTTCTCATTTTCTACCATCATAGGCATCAACTGACCTGGATCCAGACTTTTGCTTCCTTTTCCTTACAATCCCAAACCCAATCTCCCCCTCAATTCTGGCCTCCACTCATTGCACCTTCCCTGGGACTCCAGATGCCTTGATCCCCCCACTTCAACTTCAACGTCTACTTGCTCATTCCCATCATCACTGAATCAGGCTCATGTCTCCATCTTTAAATGTAAAACTTGTCCTCAACTCCTTATCACCCTTCGGGTTCTCTCCTCGGTCTTTGCTTCCAGTAGCAACTTCCTGAAAAGGGCTGCCTAGTTCCTCACCTTAGAATTACTACAATCCGACTCTCATTGCACAGCCACCAATGACAGCTTTGAAGTGAAAACAAATTGATACTTTTGGTCCTTATTGTGCCCCAATTCCCCCTAACATCTGGCACAGATGATCATTTTCTCTAGAAACACGTTTACCTCCTGGCTTCTGAGACACCACCTCGCACATTGTCCTTCTGCCACTCTGGCTGTTCTTACTCTGCTGCCCTTCCCTTCCTATCGTGAACATTGCACCCACGCTCAGAACGAACTTCTACTGTCACCTCAAAAAAGTCTAGATGCCCCCTGTAGACGTCTCAACGCCCCCCTCCACCCCGTATCTTCACATCCTCCCAGTGGAACTCTGTCCATGAGCATCTGCACACATGAACTCATTACCATCCTCAGAAACCTGCACAGCTCTCTGCAGTCCCGATTTCAGCAACCACTACCACATGCACCTAGCTGCCCATGCCAGACCCCCTGGGAATTCCAGCTTCTACATAGCTCTCAAATCTACCTACCTTCTTTCCCACCCCACTGCCACTGACTAACCCTCATCATCCTCTATCTGTATGTGTGTAGGTCTTCTAACTGGTTTGCTTTTACCCAAATCACTCACACAGTAGCCAGATGATCCTTCTAAGATGCAGACCTGATCATCACTATTAAGTTTTAAATGCTCTGGTTTCCCAAGGGTCCTTGAATACTTTCCATGCCTTCCCGAAGGCCCTCTCAGCCTGTCGAGAGCCTGTCACTCCAGTTCCAAGTCAGATCGCTCCATCATCCTTCCAAACCCGCTATACTGAATTTTTCTCAGTTGCTCAAACTTCACTATGCCCTTTCTCACCTAAAAGACTACCTACATTCTTCCCACAGCTCTACTTTATTTGACTAAGTCTCTTCACCCTGCAGGTCTCAAATGAAATGCTATCTAGACATCCTCTAAAAAGTGACAACACTGGAGCAAAATCAAAGTGTTTACTCTATGTGTTAATTCCAATACTTCGTTTTAAAGTAAGAATTCATAAAAAGTTATTGAAGTCAAATATTTCAAATACAAAAATTTAGAAATATTAGGACACAAAAAATATAAATTCATAAAAATGTAAATATTAAACACTACCACTTTAGTATAAATTGGCAGATAAAATTAAAATAGTGTTATTCTGAAAAGAAACTAAACCCTACATAAAACTGAAGAATGTTTACAAGACAGAAAAAATCTGGGTGGCTCCGTCGGTTAAAGATCACTTAAAAGTTTTATGTGTGGCAATCATCAAATCCTGACCATATTTTCTTTGCAGTTTTTCACAGCTGCTAAAGAAGTACATTTATGAGTTGGAGAAATGTCCATGAGATAACTATAACTAATTTCTAATACTTTCTTCAGACTCTATCTTCAAACAAACCCATCTCTGGTTTGATAACTCTAGGAAGAACTTTTTAAACTTACAGGTGTATCTGTGCAGAAACCTCCATTTTTTTTTTCCTTGAAAAAGAGCTCTAGCTATTATTTCCAAGAAAGCACGTCCATTTGTTGGTCTACTTCAGTTTCATCAGGGTAGATGGAAATCCTGGTCTGGCTTCTGGTGTTAAATTCACTACTATCATGATCAGACACTGCTTGTTCAAAACGTCTTTCCACTTGAATGAGATTATTCTCATGATAAAAGCCTTGTTTTTTGTGTGTACTGTCCGTTTCCTGCTCCTGAGGATCACAGAGGTCTAAAAACATACCTTCTCTACACGAACATAACTTTATTCAGTTCAAAATCCTAATGCAGTGTGTAACTCTGACAGATGTTCAGAACATCACCTTAAATTCAATTTCTGAGTCCTTACACTTTGATCTCAAGACAAATGACTGATTTTTTTTTTTTTTTTAACCAAAACACCAGCCTTTGGGGGGTCTCCTCTCTGGTCCTTCTGGCCAGTCTTGGCTCTGCCTATCCTTCAAGCTCAGTGGACTCAGAACCTTCCCCCTAGCAGCCATCTACCTGCACGCTGAGTTATCCATCAGCTGCAGAGAGCTCTTCCAACCAGACCCACAAATCAGCTTTGTCTTTTGCAGGAATGGAAGGGGGCAAAGGGGAACAAGAATGGAGGAGTTGCAGAAGATGAGGCTTACAGAAAGGCCAGAAGCCTGTGATGAGAGAAATCAGGATGATGAAGTCTGAGGGAGGAGAGGGAAGGGAAGAGGAATTGGGATATTCAAGCAGGGTGGATAAATTGACTGATGGAGGAGTTGAAATACAGGTATTACGCCACCAAAACTAAAGACATTTTAGCGCCAGCATAACGGAATGCCAAAAACC